ACGGCTGCCTCAAGACATTTTGGTACACACCAAGCTTCCTCTTCCTTCTCTAAACCCCCCCCCCAGTTAAAATGAGCTCTGGTGGCAACATGCCAACAAGTCCTCCTTGGATCCAGATAGCAGTGGCATGGCTTTGGGAGGCAACAACAGGTAGACCTCTTGCCCATGATCGCTTCCTGCAATGTCACCACCTGCTGATTGTTTTTATTGCAATATTTACATCCCATCTTTCCTCATGGCTCAAAGCAATTTACAAATAACACAGGCCCGTAGCCAGGAATTTCCATTTGCGTTTTAATTCCTTGGGGGGCCCTGGGGCCCTGTCTAATTTAATTAAATGTAATTTAATTAACAGATGCACTGGCATTAATTAGCTGCCTGTTCTTGCCACCCTCGGCTGCCTTCTTCTCCGAGGGTAGCTCACCCTACTGCCTGCCTTCCCCCATGGGGGAGCGGGTGGCGGCCATCTCCCTGGCCGAGGGCAACTCAGAGCAGCATGTGTCAACCTTGCTTCAAGATGGAGGTGGGGAAGGTAGGGGCTCTGGGAGGCACTGACAGGGCATTGCTGCAGCCAGATACCTGAGAGCCCAGCCAGCCTGGCAAACTGTGTGAGAGAAAGTACGCCAACATGGATGGGGGGGGGAGCGCACACAGTGCCCAGACAAAAGCCTGGGCATGCAGACTGCCAGCTGGGCTCTCTCCTCTCACCTGCTGGACCTTTGAGATCCCCCAATGGTCGTGAGAAGGGAGGCACTAACACCAGTCCAGCAGTAGCCAGTTAGCTCTGCCACTTGGACAGCCAGCCAGAGGTGGCACTGGGAGGCCTCAGGATTTGCTGCCTGAAAGCCTCCCCTTCATGAGGCCTGTGGACCTGTCTGCACTCCGGGGGAACTGGGCCATGGAGCCACCCCTCGAGCGTCTCCACTCCTCCGAGCGCACTGTCTGCCACAGTCCTGTAGCTCGCCATTCATGGCACATGTTCATCATGGCTCGGAGCTGGGGCCGTGCTTTGAAGGCCTGAGGAGTGCCTAGGAAACGGTAGAAATCCCCCTTTTCCCCAAGGGATAGCCACTGCCTGGCATCTTGTAGGGGGAGTTTGTGGCAGCCCTACATCTTGCCAGAGAGTTGGGGGGCCTGGGCTGAAAGGAAGTAGTGGGGCCTTGGCAGGAAGTCAGGGGGTCGGGCCCCAAAATGCCCACTGTAGCTACGGGCCTGAAGTAACAAATTTAAAACACACAGAATAGGATACACACACACATAGGGTTGCCAAGTCGTTTCTCTGCCACAGCGGGGGACTCCCGGGCGGCAACTGGAGCGCGCCCCCCACACACATATCACCAGGAAGTGACGTTAGGACGCCCGGCACGCTGGGGGCGGGGCCACGACCATCGGAGGAAAAACCATAGAGTTTTCCCTCCGATAGTCGTGGCCCCGCCCCCAGTGTGCCTGGCGTCCTAATGTCACTTCCTGGTAATGCGCACGTCGGGGTGGGGTTCCCCCCGGGGCCCGATCCGCCGGCAGCAGGGGCGGGGTTTTCCCCGCTCCCCGGGGGGACTTGGCAAGCCTACACACACACCCCGGTTGATTAGGCATCCAGTTGGGTGATTATGTTGCTTGGGTTGTGAACTGTCCCTGTTCACATTAGAGTCAGCTGAAGTCTGTTATTGCACATCCAAGTCCTTTTCAAAGCTAAGTGGAGTCTCTCTCACACCCACTCTGCCTTTTCAAAGTGACATCTACCTCTTCCTCAAATCTTCTCAGTGCCTTCCTGTCATTTCAGTTGACTTCCTACAACCTTTTCCAGCTTTAGGCCTTCAGTCCTTTTATCATTGTGCCCCTCTTCCTGATATCTGCTGCAGAACCAATATGATGCCCCACAGCCATCTAAGATTTACTCTGAAAGAGCCAATCTGGGGTCATGGCTTTTGCCTTACAAGATAATTCCTCTAATAGTTTCAAAAACAACCAAAATAACCACCAGAGAAACAGAAACTGAGGATTAAATTATTTCTGACATGGATGTTTCCAGACAGCAAAGACTGCTGTGTTGTTTGGGCTGAAACCCCACCACCACCACCACCACTTACCTCCTGATATGAATTGGGGCCAAGAGTGAGGCTAGGATCTGAGAAATCCAGATTCAAATCCCCACTCTGCCATGGAAGTTCACTGGGGGACCTTGAGCCAGTCACATTACTCTCAGTCTGACCTACCTCACAGGCTTGTTGTGTGAATAAAATGGAGGAGAGGGAAATGATGTAAGTGGCTTTTGGTCCCCATTAGGCGAAAAGGTGGGGTATAAATGAAGTAGTGAAATTAAACTCTTCCCTATCTGCTAGTATCTGTGGTTTTTCCTTATCAGGGCTTAGAACAGCCTGGAGGTGTGCATTTTTTTGTTGCAGAAATGGTACTGGAAAAGAGTTAACCACCTTTCCGCAGTGTTGTGTTCAAATAACGTGTAGCCAAATAACACAGTAGGAATTCCAGGCACATTTCTTTCCAACACATTTTTATCTGCCCTTCCTCCCAGGATCTCAGGGTCTCCCTGCTCTTCAATTTTATCTGTACAACAATCCTGTGAAGTAGGTTAGGGTGAAAGTGATCCAAAGTACACAGAAACTTTTGGTGGTTGAGCATGGATTTTAACCTCACTTTCCTAAGGCCTAGCACTCTGCCTTAACCACTACACCAATGTGGTTAACACATTTTAAATTCTACATATCTGGCTCTTGAAACCTGTTTTCGAACTAATTGTGGACATGTTATTATTATGTTCTGGGAAAGGGACATTTTCAAATTGTGTTTTAAGGGACACTTCATGCTCCTCTGAAGCTTATTAGTGGGTCTTCTGCATTTAAGAACAAGAAATATATTGTGATTTCCTACTTGTGCCTTCTCTCTGACAGGTTTAGAGAAGCATGAGAAAACAGGGAAAATAGTGGTTATTAGGTATGTATCTCTGCCTGGGCCATGATGGAAGACTGGACAGAGGTTCCAGTAGCAATATATAATCCTATCACACACTGTCTATCTAGCTTCTAACCTAATATATTTCACACTCTGTGTCTTTCTTTTTTCCCATTGCCTTGTGTACCCCGGCACTTATAAAGCATTGCAGAGACTTCTGTGGCATCCTCTTTGAGAAGCATTCCATATGGGAAACTTTCCAGGACCATTGAGCTTCATTGATGCCCTCCTAATACACATTTACCCATCTCCTCCAGCTACACATTGCAGGGGAAGTTATTAATGACACACAAGCTTGGTCTTCTTGCTAAGGAACCCCCTGATAAACTTCTGAGAATTCCCGGAACAGTTTGCAAACTACTGCTTTCTCCTATCTAAGCAAGGGCTTTGTTTGCGTAGCATTATTTGATGCACAGCCTATCCGGATGAAAACCATCCAGCTGTGGCTTTGAGAACAGCACAGCTGGGTCATCTACTCCCCAACATTCAGACTGTCAGGGGAGATGATGCTAGGGAGAGGGGTCACAACAACATGTATCCTCCTCCGCTCCATCACTGCCAAGCAGTGAATGCCAATGACCTTTACTTTCCCATATTTATAATTCATTCATGTCTCCAGCCTCCCGTTTGACTTCAGACTCAAACAGATAAGGCCGGCTCCTCTAGATAATGTTTAGGTCTGTGACTATTTTACATCAAGGACAGGCTGATTGGAAACGCAGACAAAAATTGTATTGTATACAACCAGTTCCCTCCTCCCATCCAAAATACTGGTGAACCACAATGGGAAATGCAAACATGCAAAAGTAAAAACTTGGAAACATTGTCAGGTGTGTACATTCCCACACCCCGAGAAGACAAGACTCACTGCAAAAATATAATAATTTTAGGAAAAGAGGAATGCTGTAGGAAAAGAGGAAGATTCAACATGAAATGGATTGACTCAATAAATGAAGCCACGGCCTTCCGTTTGCAAGACTTGAGCAAGGCGTTTAATGCTAGGACATTTCAGAAGTCGTTAATTCATAGGGTCTCCATAAGTCAGAAGCAACTTGACTGCACATGAGACCTACACATTCTTTGTATTACAAAATGTAGATTCCATTTCAAGGTGCTGGTGCTTACCTTTAAAGCCCTATATGGCCAGGGTCCGACATACCAGAAGGACCGCCTTTCCCTACATGTACCACAGAGAGCACTGAGGTCAGGGTCACAGAATCGCTTAACCCTGCCGGGCCCCAAAGAGGCCAGACTCGCCGTGATGAGGGTCAGGGCTTTCTCAATGGCAGCTCCTTACTGGTGGAATGAGCTCCTGGAGATCAGGGCCCTGCGAGATGTTTTGCAGTTCTGCAGGGCCTGCAAGACGGAGCTCTTCCACCAGGCTTTCAATTAGGAGCCACCCCCACCATTACCATCAATGAGTCCGGCCCTCAGTGCCAAGATCTGGCCCGTTAGATCAAGCGACTCAGAATGACACTGAGCTGCAATCTAGTTGTCGGAAACATCTTAAAACACCATCCTAAGCAACGAACTGTAGAACTGAATAGCACCCATGATTTTATGTTTTAACTTATTATGAAATTATGTATATTGCTAATGCTTTATCAGTTTTACTGGCAATTGGGCCACTGCTGTAAGCCGCCCTGAGCCCGTTCATGGGGAGGGCGGGGTATAAACTGAATTAATAAAAATTAATAAAAGTTAAAAATCAGGACAAACAACCTTTATTCCAAGCAGAGCACACAGCTCACTTCCTTGGCTACCCCTCCGCAGGGAATTTGCTACTACGAGGAAGCGCGGCTCCTTCAGTAGAAGTGGCCAGCAGGGGGCTCGCAGCTTGAGCTGACGAGTGAAAAACCCTCCGAAGTTCCTCGGAGGGAAGCGCCTTCCCCCGTCATTCTCGCTCCTCCGGGCTCTCTTCATTCATCTACTCTGGTTCCCTCCCCCCTCCGAGTCTCTCCTCCTCCCGTTTCCCCTCCCCTGGTCCCTCCTCCCTGGCGGTGCTTGGCTGGCCTCGGCTTCTTCTTCTTCCCCCTTGCCGTTGTAACTGCCCGGTTGAGCGGCTCCTGCTCCCGCTGCCGCCGGCAAAATGTCTGAGCGAGGCGGCTTCTATAAGCAGGACTTGAACAAGACCGTGTGGGAGGTGCCCCAGCGCTACCAGCACCTGACCCCGGTGGGCTCGGGTGCCTACGGCTCGGTGTGGTAGGTGGAGGCGGGCGAAAGGCAGGTGCCGCTCGGGGGGTGGGGTGGGGCGCGCCAAGCCCAGGCTCCGCTCCCAGAGCCCAGCCAGCAGCTGTGCCTGGTGCAAACAATGCACCGGCGGCACTTGGGCACGGTGGGCTCCGCTGCTGGGCCTGCCCACTCGCATGCTATAAACCGGTTTGGTTTGTATGGGAAATGGACTACACAATAGAAGCACTGGAGCGAATGTATACCTGGGCGCCTCTGTGAAATGGACCCAAAGGAATGTGTGTGACGTGTTCCAAGGCGGATCAGTACTGGTGTGGCTAAGCAACCGTGCATGCGGAACCTTCTTGGGTGCACAGCCGACTGGGCAGTGCCCAGACACCCGGGGTGGGGGAGATAATGCCTAGCAATAGCTATGATGTTGGGGTGGAGTAATACAGTTGTAGATGTGACCTAGTGGGGAGCTCGCTGGGGGTTGAAAATATGGACATCTATGGTGCATGGACTGCATATGTGGTTTATTTGCATGCAAATAGGCCAGGGGAGGGGCAGAATCCTGAGTACAATAAAGTCTCTGTGTGTGTGTTGATAAGGCCTGTGCTGTGGATATTACCTTGTGCCCAGAGAAAGCAAGAAATTCAAGATGGGTAATCAAAACAGCACAGCTGGTCTGCCAAAAGGTATTACTTTCCCTTACAAAAACATATTTCTTTCTGTTTGTGTAGGGTCTTTTTGTCTTGTGCATATTGAGAATCCGAGTGTATGTTTAGGGGATAGTTGTGTGGAACACGGAGTATCATGGGCATCTTTTGTAATGGGATATATATGTGCAGTTTGATCTGTGTCTGGTGACACAGGGTTTTATGGACACCGTTATTCCGGCTTCTTCCCTGCCCCCACTGGGGTCAGCATCAGCAGAGACAGCCAGAGCTCTGCTGCTCTCTGAATGCCATTCAGCCTGGAATTCCTCATGGGTTGCCAAGGGCAACCCCAGGCCATGCAAGCCCCAGAAAGAGGCTTTCCCCAGGCTAGTTTTTAAGACCTCCTCTTTCATCACTGAACTGCACATATGAATGAGAGTTTGGCAGGCTGATGGTTTTGTTCACACAGCTTTTGTGGTAAAATCTGAAGGAGTGGGGGGTGGGGTGGTTCAGGCTTGGCATGGGCCTCTAGAACAGAGTGTCTGATATGAAATTCCAAATGAATGAAACTTTAGGCCCCTTCCCCCCTCCTTCCTTGTGGGTAGTTTAACAAGAACTGTGGCGTCTAAAGAATCCCCCTCCCTTTCATATCATGGGGTGTGCCATTGTGTTCACTCTGTGTGTGTTGTGATTGCTCAAACTCTAAAAAACAAGATTAATAATGTCAGGATTAGGGGCCAAAATGTGGTCTGAAGTCACAGAGTATAGCAATTTAGGGAGCAATCCTAAATAGGTCTATTGGAAGGCAGCCCCAATTCTATTCAGTGGGGCTTGCTCCCAGGAAAGCATTCTTAGGGTTGCAGGTCTGTCAGCACACAGATGATTGACTACCTGGGAAACATTCATATGACACCTTTTGGGCTCCATAGTGGCACTGTGTAATGTGCCTTGAGTCTCAGTGAGAAAGGTAGACTATAAATAAATTTATGAACAAAGTAAATGAGTATGTTTGATTTATTTACACCCCACTTTTCTCCCCAGAGGGGACCTACAGGGGCTTATAACATTCTCTGTTTTATCCTCACAACAACCCTGTGAGGTAGGTTAGGCTGCGTGTGACTGTCCCACACCCAGTAAGCTTCCATGGCAGAGTGGGGTTCGAACTCAGAGTCTTCCAGATCCTATCTGACACTAACTGGTACACCACACTGACAACCATCTCACATTTGCACGGGCAAAGGATAAGTGGGTACTTTTTATTTTGCAATCCTCCTGGCCTGCTTTTCTTCAGAGGACACAAGGCAGGCTACAGTGCAATTAAAAACAACCACCACCACCAGTAACTCAGTCACTAAAACCTCATTACAAATTAACAGTCAAGGACCCATTCATAAAACCCCTGCAAGATGTTCCCGCAATCAGACTTAAGAGAAATAATTCTGTTATATGAAATCTCTGAAAGCCCAACAGCATGGAGGCCTTCCTGCCTTCCTCAGGAGGAGCTTTTCACAGGTGGGGGTGGGAGGGAATTGCTGAAGAGACTCTGGAATGAGCAGACAGAGCTCTTGCTCCTCAGCAGTATTGAATCTTTAAAAGGTCTCCCTCGTCCAAATAAAGCTGATGAAGAGGAGCAGCATGGGAGAGACAGTCCTGCAGATATATGGGGCCTAGGCCATGAAAGGTTTTATTGGGCTGTCATATAAAAGAAGGAAATGAGAATCTTGGCTTTCTTCAAGGATTGGGATTGGTGCTGTTTTCTGAGTTCTTCATAAATTATCTGGAGTCAGTGATGGGGTAGCCAAGTTTTTAGATGACACTAAACTAGTCAGGATGGTGAAATACTAAGCAGACTGTGAAGACCTCCAGAAGACTATCTCCAAACAGGGGTAGGTGCTAGGTGTGGCTAAAGATGTGCAAATAAGTTTCAGTGTAAATATCCCCCCCCAAAAAAAACCCTACCCAGTTACATTGTTGATTGTCTTTCTCATTGAGACTCAAGGTGTATTCCACAATGTAAATCAATATAGCCAACCAGATGTAAGCAGTGTGATAGGATCATGATTGCAGAAATCTGAGATAAAGCTGAAGCGCATGTTAAACGATGCAGGCATTACATAGGATAATACATACAGCAACAGACAGTGTGTACTATACAAAGTGGTACAGTCCACAGTTCCTTTCCTTGCATTAAAGCATCTTTCTGAATCATTCAGTTATAGTATCTGAGTTACAACGACCTCCTGAATAACTGAGTTTTGCACAGTTTGCAGAAAGCCAGGAGTGGGAGCCTCCATAATCTCCTCAAGCAGGTTATTCCACAAGGTGGGGCCTACAACAGGGAATGTGTGTGGGCAGTAGTTAATCTTGGCCACTTGGGCTCAAATGAGCGAAGCTGTCATGGTAGAACACAGGAAGAGAGGCACTCCTGCAGATAGGAGGGTCCAAAGCAATGAGGGCTTTTGTATGTGAAAGTCAACTGAGTAACTGTGGGAGTAATATGCACACTCCATCTAGTTCCTGATAATAGCTGAGCTGTGGCATTCTGTACCGGCTGTAGTCTCCAAATTGACTGCAAGGAGAGGGCATTATAGTAGTCTAGTCTCGACGTCACCCTGGCATGGAGCCAGGTGATCAGGTAGCGGGTCATCTTCAGGCTAAACAGAGTTGGAAGAAATCTATTTTTGCAGCTGCATTAGCTTGTTTTTCCGGCAGTAATGGTGGATGCAGTATGACCCCTTAGGCTCTTAAAGGTCTTCAGGGGTCAGCTGAACTCCATCAAAGGTGTGGCACACAGTGCCCTTCAAGATCTCAGCCTTCCCAACCAGCATTACCTCTGCCTTGTCACTACCTAGTTTCAATTTGTAGGCAATCTAAACAAAAGAAAATTCTAACTTTGCATATATACTGATGGGGTCTGGATTAGTTGTATCTGGCCATGAATGCAATCTGCGGGTCATAGTGGACCGCTCAACAAAAATGCCAACTCTGTACACAGTGGCAAGGAAAGGGGAAAACATAGTAGTGGGAATGATTAGAAAGGGACTGAAAATAAAACTGCCCCTGTGTAAATCTATGGTGCAGTCATATTTGGAATATAGTGTACATTCTGGGAACTCCATCTTTAAGAGGATACTGGAACACTGGGAGAGGGACAGAAAGTAGCAACTAAAGTTATAAGGACTTGGGAATACCCTTGTTCAGAAGAAAGGCTAAAGCGGGGGAGTGGGTTAGTTTAGAAACAAAGATAATTAGTTTATAACATTAAGTATATGGGGAGAGTCTGTATATTATATGTGAAACTGATCAGCAGTGGGTTCAAGAATTGACAAAAGGAAATTCCATTTCACATAATGCCTATTTAACTGACAGAATTTACCATTACTGGATGTGTCAATGGCTTAGAAAGGCGAATGCATGAAGGATAGGTCTACCAGTAGTTATTAGTCAGGACAGCTAAATGGAACCTCCATGTTCAGGGGCAATATATCATTAAATACCAGAGGCTGGGGATGTACAAGGAGGACAGCGCTATCCCTGCTAGAGGGTTCACTGGAGACATCTAGCCAGTCAGAATTAGAAACAGGACAAGAAGGGGGACCCACAATACTCATGGGGGGGAGTATTTCCCACAGCTCCCAGCCTGCAGAAGCAGGAGGAGCTCCGCAGGAGGAGGAAGCGGCAGCAGGTGAGCCCAGCAGGCAGACCCATCAGGCCCGCCAAGCCTTCCCCCTCCCCCCCCCTCCCCCCAATACCGGCAGTGGCGAGGCCTGCCAAGCCTTCTCCCTCCTCCCCCAGCAGTGGTGGCGGCGAGGCCCTGAGGTCCGCCAAGCGACGGCGGCAGCAAGACAGTTGCCAGGGCATTCTCTGCACATGCGCAGGGAATGCTCTTTTACTTTGGGGGGGATTTAAGTATTCACTGTATAGTTTTTTCAACTTTTTATATTTTTCTGCATACCTGGGGACTCCTCCGCAGGAAAATCTCTTTGCCCCCCAAGTACCCCCGATGTGCGGATTTAGATATCCACACGGAGGGGTCGCCTTGGCTATTAGGTATATAGATGTGGATTAGATTGGCCAGATTGTCTGGACATCTTATGCTCTGAGTTTTATAAGGGTTACTGAGAACCCTAGAAATATTACAGAAATGTTGACTGCTGTTGATATTATTACTTAAGTAAATACAGTTGTTGCTCTTCAACTTTGAGAAGTGGGGTTACCGCAATGATCCTCTTGTGCAAAGGACTTTGATGCCATCATGCCTCCATGAAAAGGACAGTGTGTTCATTCTGCAGTTTCAATACCCTTGAGAATCCACGTTACAGTTAGTGTGTATCATACTTTGAAAATACATGTATAGCCTGTTTCATACAAAAC